AGCAACTAATAAACATTCTTTGTCAAGAAGTATGTCACGTTAAAATCCAACTTGACAAAATCATAAACATTATCCAAGCCAAATTTTCAAAAAAAAAAGTCATGATTAAATTGTAACCTGCAAAGCGAAATAACTTTATTTTGTAACAACTTAGTTTTCTAGTTTTATAAATATTTCAAATAAATCTCAATATAACAATAAAAAACTATTGAACCTGATTAATCAAAAACGCAAGTTCAAAAGCTAAATCTCTAATTCTATCAGATTGATTATTAACACTACTTCCAAAATGACCCTTATTAGTATCAATTTTCAACATCAATAGATTACTTTTTTGATACGGCCAAAATTGGTTTGGTTGTCTTATTCTCATTCTAGATACCCACTTCAATGGATGCCAGTAATTTACTCTTTGATCTTGCATCCCCGCTGTCACTAATATTGAAGTTCCAGTATTGTATTGTTTAAAATTATCACCAAAGGTAGTGTCATAAGAGATATTATCATAAGGCGCATAACTAGAAATGTATTTATAGACATTCTCATCTTCTAAAGGATTACCCCATTCATTGTATTCTATCTTTGTAAGTGGCAGATTCGGGTCTAACATACTTGTCAATGGATCGAGAAATGGAACTCGCAAAACTAATGCTCGAAAAAGATCTAATAAATAAAAGAAATCTGAGTTATTGCTGTGTTGGAAAAAAAAAGCGATAGATATTGAATATGAATAATAGATCAAACCTGGTCGCATGTTAAAAGCCGCACCTATATCAATGAATGCCAACATTGTTAATATTATTTGATGTAAATAATGCCAGTTTTGATTAAATAAATATAGAAAATTCGTTAACTTATTAATAAACCACCAGCACTGATACCAATTGCAGAAATTTTCGATGAGTTAGAATATCCTGCACTAATTAAGTACTCTACAACCGAAATGAAGTCAGTAAATGAATTTTTTTTATTCATTAATCGGCCTTGGTCATACCATGAATAACCTAATTCCGACCCTCCTCTATTTTGAAAGAAAAATAGATAAAGTTATACACTTATTTCTAATATTGTAAATACTAAAAATTTAAAAAATTTCATAATAATCACCGAACATGTGCAAGAGCAATAATCCAACCTCTCTCCAATAATGGTAAATGTTCAAGTTGGAATTCTGGATCTGTTGTAATACCATACGCCCCATAAGATCTTAATAGAACTGGATTGCTATTTCAAACGATATTAGTTTATAATGATGTAACGCATATTGAGATATTAAATTGTATAAAAATTTACTTGTGATTCATTATTAACGATTTTTTATGTAGTATAGTTATTGGTATTTCGGCGCCATCTGAAACCTTGGCACGTGTTCGATAACATGTATATAAATTGCTGTCAAAATCTAAACGAGAAGCTTGTTAAATTAATGGCTTATAAGAATAAACGATGAATAAAATTTCGTACGTACTGTTAATCGATTTAGATCTTATAGAATATAGATTACGCGTTTTCATATTGTATTCATAGGTTTTTTCGTGAGCCAAAGGCAAGTTACACGTAAATCGAACAATATTTGTATTAGAGTCCTAGACGAGACGCGTAAATATTAGATATGTTATAAATTTTTTACAGTATATTATTGATATTTGCACGCAAACTTACATTATTTATTTCCGGAGAGACGGCACACAAATTCGTAGGTAACGCTATTTGATGAACTTCAGAAGATCTTAATTCATAACACATGAGAACTGGTAAACCTTCACTCTTTGCAAATATGACTGCGTAATCCTATTATAAAATGAAAGAATTTAATCAAAGAAAAAAATTTAACACGTTGCTAAATTACCTGAAATATATCAACATCTTCAATTCTTTCGGTGTCTTTAACAGTAAAAATCGTTTCCCAATATTTTTTTTTGATATTTTCTATTCTCGTACGAACAAGTTTAAAATTATGACAATTATCAGCATTTGTCAAAATGTAAAAGTAACCCTTTAAAAAAGAAAGATGTCATTATTAGGATCATTTTTGCAAATTATATGTTACTTGAAAGATGAAAAGATAAGTAGCACATCTAACGTCACGATGATCAACGTAATATTCCAATCCAGTTGTCCGTGGTTCGATTAATTTTAATTCAGGTGCACCTTGAGATGTGTCATGATGAGCGTCAAAGAATCGGACTTCAGATGATGAAAAGGTATTTGAATTTATCATAATAAAGGACTATAAAAAAAAACAGTGAATTGATTAATTAATTATTATAATTAGAATAATCAAGAACTAGATGAATCAGATGAATAAGACGAATAAGAATAAGATAAATAAGTAGCATGAACCTGATCTTTGGTGCTGGTAATATCAACAAAGGAAGTATGATCCTTTTCTTCATATATAAGTATGTCATTCCGTTGTGATGTCCCCAATTTGTGTGAATAGACCTATCATTAAATAAACACAGAAATGAATTTCAATTAAGATTTTAGACGCGTTATACTGAGTTACCTTGTAGGGTCTAAGTTGTTCATCAGTAACAGTGTAATAAACTGTATGAACATTTGTTCCCCATAAAAAATTGAATATTCCGTCTAATATTTCATTCTACAAAGGAATTTCATGAACGTTAATTAGGAATAGTGTAATTATAAAAATTCATCAATTCTAACCTGATAATTATTAGATCTAGATAAATCTTTGAAATGTAATGATCCAATTTCATCGCCTTCTTGTTCAGCCAAATATCCAAGTAAATTTTCATCAGTTGATAATAGTACAGATTTAATTTGTTTATTTTCTTTTGATAATTTTTTAGAATCTAATAAAATTTCCTATTCGTAATCCCCACAAAAGATCATTAAAATTAGAATGATATACGCGAAAATGGAAACTTTATAAGAATTACACAAAAAGATATTCGTGAAATATTACTTCGCTCGACAAACTTCCTTTTTTACGACGATAATAAATGCTACCATGATTCGAAGGTTTGGTATAATATTCATAACCATTTGATGCAACTTTTAATGGTGATACTACCTCTGGAGTTATTAATTTATTTTTCATCTCCTATCAATTAAATTTTTAATATCGTCAGCTTTGAGGTGATAAGATCTAATAAAATTATAATATCTTACAAAAAACAATCGCTTCTGTAACAACTTTGTGTTGACCATCATTCTATTAGTGAATCTAAATTATATATATTTTTAAATAAAATCAGTTACTAAATCAATTTAATAATTATCGAAAAAAATGAATATTAACTAAAAATAAATAACCACAAACTCATTTTCTGCATTTATATATTCTCGAACATCCTATTAAATGTGGTAGAACAATTAGATAACACATATATATTATATATATAACACAATATTCATTTATACTAATAAAATTTTAATATTTAAAAGCTACCTGATTATTAGGATCCTGCATCCATTGAAACTCATCAATACGTTCGATATTAAAATAAAAAGATGATCGTGGTATTTGTTTTGGTATTGGTGGTAAGTCAATTCTTAAAAAAAATTTATAATAATGCAAAATTTATTTCGACGTTTTTCTATAAGCATTAAATAGATCTAATTATAGAATACGTACTGTACGTATGTACGTACCTTTGAAAAAATTTTTTAAAATTTTTGATGAATGTTCTCTAAAAATTTATGAATCGATAAAAAAAATCAGATTGTATTATATAATGTATATAATCGATTATACTTTAAATAACGCTTTACATTGAACTAACCTTTTGAATAACATTTACTGTATCGAACAATCTTGTGATATTTGACAATATCATTTGTAAAAATGTTACGTATTCACTTAGCATGGGAAAAAGATTATCTCTTAATGATTTTCATTAAATTTGATTGGTTAATATTTTTAGATATACCGATAGAACATTAATTAACGTCTAATTAATTACGTAAAAATTATCGTTAAAGCGCGTAAACGTGACGTACGTTTCTGTATCGACTTCTGATAATATATTCTTCGAAAAAAAAAGATCGTATACCGTGAAAAAAAAGGTCCGTTTACCCATTGTTATTTCATCTATTATGATAGAAAATGTATTTACTGTATCATAAAAAATTATGAAAATATTAACGATAATACATCCTCAAAACTAATTTCGAAATGGATCGAAATTTTTTCGGATTTAAAATGTGATTGATTACTAGAATACGTAAATGCATGCAAATCAACGTAGTGTTATCTATAACTAAATTAAAAAAATTTCCCGAATTCTCACCGTTATACCGATGGATGTTGATATTATAGGTCTGTAAGTGGAACAGAAATTAGAATTTTCTAATCATGTATAAAGCTACTGTATACCCTAAACTTAATGTCCGTTTTCACAACTTATAGAAAAAAAAATTTTATTTTCTGAACGTATAACATTTAAGTAGCTTTGTGCGTCAAAAAGACTTTGAAGTTTTTTTAAAGTTTTATTTTGAAAAATTTCGTAAAAATAAGACTGTGTACAATAAAAAATTAATAATTTGAGTACAAATAAAAAAAAGATCACATACACTTCAATAATTCAATTTCGTAAAAATAAGATTATGTACAGAATATAATAATAAAAAAAAAAAGTATAACAATTTGATGAATCATCAAACCAACGCCTTCACAATAACAGTCATGAGGCACCCATTCGAACGAAGGATTCGTGTTAGCGTGAACAAAACTAAAATATACTTCCCAAAAGATATCTATGGATAAGGAGGATGAAGAGGAAGGAGCCTAAGATGAAGGAACTAAAATTCTCCTCCTTTTCCCGTTCTAGGCTATATCAAAACCGAGCCACCTTGTTTGCCTTAAGGCCTCTCGTATTCTCTCAATTTATGGTTGAGAAATATTTATACTCTCTATAAGGGCCTTCTTGTTTTGTTTGAGTAATGCGCGAGAATTCTAAGATAAAATTATATTTCTTAACTTTTAGCATTACGATCATTTATAAATAAGACAAAACAATAAATTTTTATTAATTACTTACATTTTCGCTTCTGCTAGAGTTCCTAATTTACTATCCACAACAAGCACCACGGCATTTTTAACTAAATTTTTATTGTGGAGATCGTAAATATATACATTTACCAATTATGAAAGAAACTAGATAAGAAAAAGTATCGTTAGTTTAAAAGTTGTGATTGTATATATCTGTATATTAGTGCCTATTAAAATAATTTACCCCATAATTGGTCAACACGGCATTCATCTTTTTCAACTCCATATTAACCAGTCATTCACACTCAATCCTTTTTGCACAGTGAAAAAGTTGTGTGAATTCGTTTTCTTTGAATTCTCGAGATAATGTTGATATTAAATCTATAGACAAAATTTATTAATGTAACAATTATTACTATTAACGTTAATACTATTTATACTTACAGATTTATTCCAATATTTTCTTGGATTCCGTTAATAGAAGTTGCAAGAAACAATGAATGGCATGCCATTACATGATGATTGAATATAAAAACTTGCATTTATATAAAGAATTTTAAATGTTTTTTCTTTTATAAAAAAAGACCAGAATTAATGGCATGCCATAAGTGATGATTTGAATTTAACTTTGTTTATATATATAAAGATTTTTTTGATTTTTTTAAAGATTTTTGCTTTATAAATTTAACTTTAAAAAAATACTAATATGATGAAATATGCTCGTGTGATAGGAGATTTAGTTATCAAATGTTACTTTACAAGTTATGAACTCCGGAATTTAACGTCAAGTGGTGTGTGTGTGCGTGTACAACTTAAACCCTCCAACGTATGGGGATTTTAATGTAATCTATGTTACACAATTTGATCATGTTTTTTTTTTAGATAGCCAATAAAAAGAACAATCAGAATTTTGTATCCGTAAAAACATTTTCATGATGATATTTCGTTCTAAAAATCGACAAAAACAACGACGCTCATATTTTCAATCTCTTGCACCAGAAATATTTCTTCATATATGTACATATCTTCCACCAGTAGATTTACTTTCACTTTCAAAAGTTTGTAAACAATTTTATAATGACCTTAGCATCGTTGAATCATCGACAATTCAAAAAATTTGGCAACAATCAAGACTTAAATTTATGCCGTACAGAACTTTAGGACCACCAAAAGGAATGAATGAACGAGATTATATTAGGATCTTGGTTGAAGAAAAATGTTTATTTTGTGGTAAAAAGAGTAGAACTTCAAAGATTTATTGGGATATTGGTGTTCGTGCATGTATATCATGTTTTAAGAAACGAACTATCACGTAAGTTACAAAATATCTTTCATATTATGAATATTGTCGTCGTCGTCGTTTTGAATAATTAAACAAATTTTATTAACTTTAATCATATCTTTTTTAAAAAAAAATCAAAAGAGGATATCAATTGTTTTGTTCCGATCCTACAGCATGCAAAATTCTTAAATTCGTTCCATACACAAAGGCTAAAAACGGGACAAAAACTTATTGGAAGTTTTTAATCAAGTCTAAAATCAATGAATATAATTCACTTTTTGAACTTGATCGATTTGAATGGTTCTGTCAACAATCTAAACAAGTTGAATCAATTGAGTGTGAATTAGCTTCAAGATGGCACGAAGATCATGTAAACAAGTTTAAGCAATTGAATGCGAATTAGTAGAATTAGTCGAATTAGTCTCAAGATGATATGAAGATTTTTTTTTTTAAGTAGAAAGATTATTATTTTTTTTTTTGCAAGATTATAGTTTAGTAAATTGATCTAGATTTACTATTTATTTGATTTTATTAAGTTGATAAATTAACAATAGATATATACGTAGTAAGTCACTTGAAGTATGTTTGCTAAAGAGAATTTATTGCTACCAAGAAAAAAAATTTACAGTAAATATCTAGATTTGCAAGTGCTTGTTTTATTATTATTCATGTTTTTAATTTACCACATTCTATATATTCTGTTGTGAATGAGCACCCTTTCTTTTCCTGAATTTGTATATATGGGTACCAAAATTGAAAAGAGGAAACTAATCTTAAAGTTATGTCGATGATCATATAGACGAAGATTTTTATCCGCTATAGACACATGATCTTGATGATTAATAAAACCGTCAAGATACAGAAATGGTGACATCGATCCTATAGTCAATAAGATAATTGGTTTGATTTTAGAATATACAAGAACGAATACTGATCAGCTGATCGAAATGATCGAAATAATCGAGGTAGTATGTTGAGAATTAGAATATTTAAGTAGATTAAAAGTAGTGGAGCGATGTTTCTTTTCACTTAAACAAGAGCAGATTCCGATTTTAGGTAGTATCTATAGATAGTTCATATATTATCGATATTTTTTTTTGTCGATATTCAAGTGTATTAAGTCTATACCCGTGATTATAGATTGGAGAGCTAGCAATAGACAGGTTAGATAGGATTTAAAAAAAGTTCAATTAATAAGTAAATTAAGCAATTGAAATATTTTGGATATTGGCGCAGTAAAATGAAAAGTGTAAGAAATACACTTCCAGATAAAAGCATCTTTACTGTTTTAATTAAGATCTTTATAAAATATAGATTTTTACAATTGTAAAAAAATCGATAATTAAAAAAATTCACTCCGACAGTGCGTATAATAAATGCTAAGCAAAATAAAAAAAAAATTATAGCGAATAAAAATGTTTATATAGCATAACTTATTTTGTATTTGAACTTAATTATGTCATATTATGTATTGAGCTTTATTAAGCTTTATTAAGCTTTATTAAGCTTTATTATGATAGCGATATTAAACAAAAAAATATATATACGAAAAATTGAAAATTATAACCGAATTCTGGTTTAAAATTAAATAAACGTACGTAATTTACGAATTAATATAAAAAAAAAAGAAAAGAATAAATGTTCGAGATTTAAGATTTTGCCAATTTGCTTTTTCTAAAAAGAAAATGCCGAAAAAAAATCGAAATGTAACGATAATGCCAAGTTTCGTAAGTCATCAAACAAGAAACGTTTGTCGATTAAACATCGATCACCTCTTGATAAAATGCCATACAAATGGTTTTTGCTTCAATGCCTAATCCAAGAAATTCAACATTTTCCCAGATCTCGTGCCAATTATATTCAGTCATAGAATCATAAAATTTATCACTATCTCCAGTATATAACCATTCTAATACATCACTAAAAGTCTCGGGAGAAGGAGCCTCAATAATTACTAAATCACCTTGTTTCAAATTCTGGAATAGATCCCGAAAGAAGGTTGACTGAGTTACTAAATATTCCCGATGAATATAGAATGGATCATTAGGAAATCCTTTTAATTTAAGTTCGACCGTGGCTGATTCTTTATTATTAAAATGTTCACTACCAACAGAGCGGAGATAGTGGAGAGCATAATTATCAGGAATGTTATTGGTCGATTTATGACAATTGTTTGAAATTGTAGAGGAAGACTGAAGATCAGGAATGGGTTGTATAGGAGGTAATGATTTAGTGGACATTTTGTCTTTTTTTTTAAAAAATATATAAAGATTGTAAATCAATTACAATATTTGATCAAGATCACTGATGATTTAATAAAGTTCAATATATTTTTTTTATTTGGATCTTTGTATAATAAGTTTATTAAACGTAATTTTCTAGAAATTGATCTTTTTCTTTTAGATCGATTTTTTGTATTTTCTGAGAATCGTTCCTCCCATAAACAAAATGCGCTTTTATATATTTTGCTTGCTTACCGGAGCAATAACTGCTAAAGTTATTGATTCATATTGAAAAGTTTTTGATTAAACCATATCACTCCAAAATAACTCAACGGTTTAAAATTTTTTAACTATTGATCTAACTATCTAACATCATGTTCATTATTATGATCGTTATTATGATTAAGATATTGTTCCTTAATAATAATATTGTTATTTATTAACACAATAAGAATTATCATGTTTGTAGACAATCAAATCACATGCATAAGACTTGCGTAGATCGAAAGACAATATTTATAAACTTGTGCTTGATAAAAATTGTTCAAACTTTGAAACTAGATACTTTCAATAAATATCGCTATGAATGACGGAATCATTTACTATTTTGAAAAATGATTAACAAGTTTGCTTCCGGATTTAATAATGTTAAACGTTTCGAATTTTTTATTCTATTAAATAACTATTTATACGCATGTATTAACATATGATTGTTCTGTTTACATTGATATTATTTTCTATTATTATTATTATTAAGTTTTTTTCCGGGATTTTTTTATCATAGGTGCTTTGCTACTGCGCATTATTTTAAAAAAGTGGGTTTCCTTTTTCTTTTTTATGATTTACACATTCTATTCACAAAGACATTCACAATATGTAGACTTAAAAGTTTTTTTTTTTCCAAGTGTCTAATCTATATACTGCCTTTTTTCTTTCTTTCATTTTTTATATATATTCTCATAAAATCAAGTTTTACTTTGATTTAAAGCTTATCATGTATCCTACCTGCTTTACCTGCTTGTAAAGTATAATTTCTTTACCAATTTTATTAAATTAAATACAATTGTATTCCAAGCCAATCAAATTTTCTTAAAATTATCTAATAATTAGGGTTCTACCCACCGTTTCACATCGTAAAACGTGGTTCAAATCTTTCCTAATAGAGTATTAGCTAGAAGCACGTTTTTTCTTTTAATAAGATGCAGGGACAAGTCATTGTATTTTTATTTATAATATTAAGCATTTTATTGCATATACGTATAATGTATACAGTATATTTTATGTATATAATTGAAATTTTATATTGCTAATTATGACGTTTAGTTTTGACAGTCGGAAACATGAACTTTCTTTTCTCGAAACGTCTTGATTGAACAATTTTTTTTTCTATGTAACATAAAATAGCATTCTTTTATCATTGGATATTTCGAGAAATGCTTTACGTGCGTATCACTGTTTCGCACTGCTTACACATACTGCGGGTCTTATTCAAAAATTCCAAATCTTTATTAATAATTGAATTCGTTACTATTCATAGTATATAAGTGATTACTAATTTCAATGATACTATTAAGCTACTATATACTGTAGATGTAAATAATAATTAAAAATAAAAAAACAATATTAACGTTAGCTTTAATGTAAATCAGTTTTGGATTACAGTAGCGAATTTTTAATAAAAACGTGACATCATGTTACGATGGATTGATTGGTCAACAGTGACGAATAGGCTTGTGCGTAACGGTTACGTATCAAGCACTTATACATTTTATATCAGATACAATATAAAGTACGCGTTGGCAAACTCGTCATTTAAACATTATAATATTTAAGTTAAGGGGTAAATCGTGGTAAGAAACACAGTGTAGTATTATAACTTTTGCATAATATTAAAAAACAATTATATAGCTAAAATGTGAAAAATGCAAGCATAAAGGACCAATTTTAATGATTCTACTGTCATTAGAATCGGAATAACTGTCGCTACAACTTTTAATAGAATTCTAAAGAAAATTTTTTATAATAAAAAAAAATCCTTTTATTGCAGTTCAAATTTTTATACTAATTGATCTATAATATGATTTTTTTACTTTTTATACAATACCTTTCTTTCTATAGGTCTAAAATGTCTACCAATATAAATCTTCAGTAGGAACCGTTTCAAATTATGAAACTGTTCCAGCATGATTACATAATTAAATTTTTGTTATGCGTTTTATAATACTTTTTAAGGAATTGTATAGCGCAAGAAGTCTACAATTACTATCACGGAACAACTGACCAAAATTTGAAAAAATTTTATTATAAAAAACTAGTATTAGAGTCTATCATTAAATGAGGCTTATATTGAAAGAAATTGTCTGCCAAAAAAGAAATTTCGTCATCTGGGTTTCTTGTTTATTGCTTATCAGGCTGTTTACATATATAAATTTAAAATCTCAAATAAGGCGACCAAAAAAAACCATATGCAATATGTTACGCGTAATCTGCAATGTTGTCATTATGTAGATCAATTCTGTGGAGTAACTGTGAGGCTTTAAAAGGCGCCAGGTCCACGGAAATCCAAAGCCGCATAATTTTACATCATTTATATTATATCAGTGTCACATGTGTATTCTCAATAAGAAGTTATCAGCTTTTATTTGGCGTGCATATTTGACTATTATAAAAATCGATTAATAATAGAACTAATTTTTAAAGTGCGAAATAAATTATTATTTTTTTTTTTTTTTTTTAGTAGTGAGAAATAATTAATTTTTTGTTAAAGTGCAAAATAAATTATAGGAATATTATTATAACACTATAGCACTGTGATGCTATAATTGGTGTTCCGAAGTTCTGGTTCGGGTTCGACCAAACCCGAACCAAACTTTAAAATTTGCAGATCTTTGAACTCGAACCCGAACCGAACCTAGAATTTATGAACCCGAACTGAACCTGAACTTGAAATATTAGTTCGGCCTGAGTTCGGTTCGAAGTTCATGAACATGTTCGGGTTCGAGTAATAATTAAACCTGTGCAACATGTGACCTTGCACAGGACTAGTACGATCATGTTTGAATTCATAACCGAAGATAAATTTTATTTTATCAGTCACCACCCAACCCTATTTTTGCCAGCCTTACCGATTTTTTTTTTTAAAAAAAAACTCACGGCCAAATTAATACATCAATAAAAGCGATATTTTTTATATTGGGATTTTTGCTAATGATACATATAACAGTATAATGCAGGACTATAATTTTTCCGCGGGCAAATTAAGATCCCATATGTAAGAATAATTAACAGCGGTATTGATAGATAAAATTATGAACAAAGATATAATGTGTAAGATTGGGCTAATTGGGAATAAAAAATAAAATGAATAAAAAAAAAGTACATAGCTAAAATTAATATTCAAAATTTCATTAAAAAGTTTAAAAATTAAAAAAATTAGTAAAAATCTTCGCAGGCAAATTTGCCTGTGTTACAATTTAAGGGATAA